ATTAATATAGCTTTTATCGAGTTCCTGAGTTGAAATTCTATATAGAAATATGATGTATTATTCAAATTTGTTGAACACTTTCCTCCTCGCTTGTAATCCTTTCTAGCTAGATGGTTTGAAATAATAGGTTCAGCTATTCAAAATAATTATATTTTACATATATATTTTGGTCATAAGAAAACTCCCAAAATATTAAATTGAATTGAGTATGTTTTTATCTTTTTTTTATTTTTATTTTATTTTATTTTTTCCTAATATCATTTGACACAAGTAATACCATGATACCACCAAGTAAAAATATACATCTCAATTTTGAATGCAGTCTTGAAATGAGTTTCCTATTCCACATCAAGATAAAAATATTCTCTAGGTTAGTAAATGAAAATAGTAACACCACATCAAATGACTTTCAGGAAAGTTAAAACACAACTTCACTGCAAAGTAATTATTGAAATCGATCAAGACCACAAGCTCTGCAACGGTTAAAACGAAATAACGAATAGTAGTGCAATGTAACCACGAAAAATAAAACAAATTAATAGAATGCTCTATAACTAAACATGTTCTATCAATCTGGTTTTTTTTCCAGAATTACAAACGAATAGTTCATTCTCTTTTTTTGCTGTAAAGCCATCATAACAAACTGAACTTACAGTTTTTCCAAGTCTACAAAACAAGTTCACGGATAACCAAAAGAATGCGCCTCCTAAACTTCTAATTTCTCGTATAATTAACCTGCAATTACGAAGATAAAAAGAAGAAAAAAAAAACAAGAACGTATTACGAAGATAGTAAATCTGAGATTAAAAGATAACATGCTTCAACAATGTGTAATATGATCATTACATTTAAAAAAAAACCGCATAATACAAATTGAATATTTATAGCTAACAACTCTAATTACAGAACTAGTGAATCAAAAGTCTGGCCATGAAAATGCCCCTTAATTTGTCATTTTATTCCATTTTATAATCCCTTTTCATATATCCTGATCAAAATCCCAAGATACAGTGAAAAATCAAATCTTTAGCCAAATTTGATCTTTTGATGTTGAAGATAGCAATAACTGAAAAAATCTAAGCATTCCCAACAAATTATCATCTTCCGCAGATAGATACTCAGACTTAACTTCCCTATCTATATATATATAATAAGAATTAACATTTACCATAAATAGTAGTAAGAAAAAGTCAACTCACATTTATTATATACTATTTTTAGTAATTTTTTATTTTATATTTTAATTTTAATTCATTATCAAAAAATTGGATGGTTCCTAAATTAATGGGTTTTAGATGACGTATCCTGTTTCAAAAATTATAAATTATTTAAAATCGAATGGTTCCTAAATTAATGGTTACAAACTTTTCAAAGTTGTAATCTTTATGACATCTTTTCTTTTTGACTTTTAATAATAAAATCATTTTAAATATATATATTCTAATCCAGAAATTCAATCATGTTATATATATATATATATATATACCCAATCAATTAATCTTAATTTTTTTTAAATTACTATGTTTATTTTTTATTAATATGCATAAAATAGAAATAAATAATTCATCTTTAGATATATAATTTATAATCTTAATATACTATCATTTGGTGTAGACATATGAATCATAAATTTTTTTTTTTATTTCATAAAAATTAAATATTATATTTAAAGAAAATAATGAAATTACTTTGGATCAATCGGGTGATTGAATTGGGGTACTGCCCACGTTGTGAATTACTTTTAGGTGATATTTAAAATAGTAAAAAAACTTGACATAACTTGGTTGGTCCCAGGTAACTAAGTTATGTATCAGTTTGACCAGACCAAATCGATTATTGAACCTAAATATAAATTTTAATATTGAAAATACTTTAGTATGTAGTCCAAACTTCAAATAATCATATTAACAATACTTTTACGACAACATGATTAATGATTTATGAATATTTATATATCATTTTATTATTATTATGTGAACAAAATAATTATTTTATTATCATGTTTATTAATGTACGATAAATATAAGGTTTTCAGAACCAGAACGTCATCGAAACGATCAAGTTATTTTATTAAATCATTTGTGGTTGTTCAGATTTTAATACATAATACTTTAATATATATATATATATATATTACTTTTTGCAATAAATTTAAATAAAAAGTGTTACTTAAATATCTAAAAAATTTATAAATTTAAATTTTTAAACTAATTGATAAACAATTTATAAATCTCTATTTTATTTAAATATGTAATTTTATTTAAAATAATTTTTAATGTAACAAAATTTGTTTAGAAAATCGTATCGATCCTACAAATCCAACATACTGATGTTGACGAATTCGATAGCAAATATTTTATTCAAGCACAATAGACTGGTTATAAACCGGTTCTCGGTCCATCCGGTCGGACTGTGTCCAACCCGGTTTAATTTAAAAATAATGAGTAAATCATGATTAATGTTATTTATTTATTTAATTTATAATACAATCAAAATATTGTTTTCCCGTGTATCGCACGGGCCACACACTAGTTTCACTCAAAAGCAAATACCCTTTCCACAAATTGGATCAAATTTCAGTCACATTTAGTCCATAGTTCACAATGGCATATTTCACAAGCATTGTCCCAACTTCTATACAATGCTATCATTATCACAATATAAATCATACCAATACATTCAACCCATTTTTCCAGTTATGCCTAATCTTGGAACCTCATGTAATAACAGAAAT